TTATAACCCCCTGAGCTTTCCCCCCAGGGTGGCGGGAGGGCCCTGCCAGTCCTCAGTGGGGCTCAGATGACAGGGCACAGTGATGCTGAACAAACCCTCTGCTGCTTCCTGCTCTCAGGTGCCCAGCGAGGAGCCCTGGCAGGGTCTTTCCTCCATGAGGAGAAGCACGGTATCCCAGGGGATACTTCCAGGTGATGAGGAGCAAAGAGCTCCTGTGGCCACTCTCTAGCAGGTCAGTTCCCCTGTTATGGAAGCTAAAATGCTCACAGGTTTTCACTTAGCAGATGCTTATCAATAGAAGGTGTCACATCAAGAAGTCCATGTGTTGTAGCGGGACAGACATGCCCCTGCAGCGCCATGCTGAGCTTTCCCTTCCAAGGATTTCAGGCAGCATAAGCTGTCCCCAGAAGCCCTCTGATAAGAAAGGCTTTTCTGGCATCCACCACCCCTCACACATGGGAGGGATATGGGGAAAGGCAGAGGAGAGATGCTCTGGCCACTGCACAGCTCTGCAAGGGAAAAGCCCTCAGCTCAGCGAGTTGGCTTGAGGACACTCCCCATCAGCAGTAGAGACCCCAGTTAATTAGGTTCCTGCAGCTCTGCACCTCTTCACAGGCTCTGGTTGCATCTCCTCACCTCCTTCTGCTTCTTTCCAAGGTGTGCTGCCAACTTCCCTGCCTGGGGGCTTGTTCCCTCCTGAGACAGCTCAGATATTTAAGAGCATGGAGCTGAGGCTCGGTATCTGACATACCTCCAACATTCCAGCACCCCACGCCTGGAGCAGGACAGTGTTTTCTCAGCACATGCCCGCAGGCTGTGAGAGCCTCTCACCGGAGACGTTTTCACCCCTTGAAGAGGAAATGAAATCACAATGGTCGTCGTCCATCTCTCAGCATCAGCCCCCTTTAGACCAGAAGTGACGATGCCAGCGCGGGCCGTCGGTCCTCAGCTGCAGGCGCCTGTGCCCGGGAGGTGGCGACAGTCCCCTTCGCATGTCCCACACCGTGCACCCCACACCGTACAGCGCGCACTGTGCAACGTACAGCCCACACCATACACTGTAGAGCATACACCCCATACAGTACAGTGTACAACATACATCCGGAACCATACAGCGTACACTGTATAGCATACAGTGTACAGCCCATACAGTACAGTGTACCCTGCACACCCATGCCTGAAGATACACAGATGCCCGAGGGTCAGGAAATAAAGTGCCCCTCAGGTGTGCAGCACCGAGGGGAGCCACCACCGACACATGTGCCTCTGGGTAAAAGCGCTTCATGTGTTACAACTTGTTTTTCTTCTCTCTAGGAATAACCATTGCCTGTGCAACAGCACTTAGCATGGCACAGGTGAAACAGCACAACTTTTGGATGAGGCATTTCAAGCAGATCCAAAAAAATCCCATTTAAATGCCTGCCTACCATTCATTCGAACTGTGAAATACATCTGAGGATTGTAAAAGGAGAGTCCCACGAAAGAGAATCCTCAGAAATCTGGTCCTGAAAGTAGGACTTAAATATCAGAATAATTTAAACACTCAGTTGTATTAGAGATGGTAGAAATAATTTTCCAAGTAACGTTTACCCTTCTTAAAAAGCATAGCTTACAACTATAAGAAACAGAACAGGCACATCCTGAAGAAGAGTTTAAACACCATTTAACTAGTGGGTTAGAAGCCCTGCCAACAGACTGTTCATATTGTTGTTAACAATAACAACAATAATAATTACTATAATTAGTTATTAGCTCATATATGGCACACTTCAGACAGAGACCATACATCAGTTTACACACTGATGATGCTTCCCATGCTTGTGTTCTATGATACTACATTGTGTTTTGTATTTAATCATAGAATCATAGAATGGTTTGGGTTGGAAAGGACCTGAAGACATCTAGTTCCAATCCCCTGCCACGGGCAGGGACACCTCACACTAGAGCAGGTTGCTCCAAGCCCCTGTGTCCAACCTGGCCTTGAACACTGCCAGGAATGGGGCAGCCACAGCTTCTCTGGGCACCCTGTGCCAGCGCCTCAGCACCCTCACAGGGAACAACTTCTGCCTTAGATCTAACCTGAACTTCCCCTGTTTCAATTTGAACCCATCACCCCTTGGCCTACCACTACAGTCCCTGATGAAGAGTCCCTCTCCAGCAGCCTTGTAGCCCCCTTCTGATACTGGAAGCTGCTCTGAGGTCTCCACGCAGCTTCTCTTCTCCAGGCTGAACAGCCCCCATGTTCTCAGCCTGTCTTCATACAGGAGGTGCTCCAGCCCCTGCTCATCCTTGTGGCCTCCTCTGGACTTGCTCCCACAGCTCCATGTCCTTCTTATGTTGAGGACACTAGAACTGCACACAGTACTTTGTATGCTTTCTCTCCAGATAAGCTTGCTTTCTGAATATTGGCCCAAAAGATAATGCTTGGAAGAATTTATTTGATCCTCTATTTCCTCATTGACAGACAAGGCACTGTTCAACAAATCAAATATTGCTGTTTCTCATCATGTGCTTGCTATAGCCCAGGTTCTCCTCCCCATCCTTTGCAGAAACATGCATTCACACTTCTGCTTTGGTTTCTCTTTGCCTGTCCATCTTTTAGATTTAAGCTTCGTTCTCACTCATGTTTTTAATGACAATTGGAATAGCAGAACCGATGGCCCCAGAGGTACCAATCTAACAGACAGTGCTGAGCCAATCCAATACACTGGAAGGGATTAGTCCAGGTGTGTATTCCTGCAGCCTCATGGCTCCAGGTCTGACCCTGCAGGGAGCTGGTTCAGCTCACAGATAGTACCAAAGAGCAAAATGAATAGGTTTTAGCAATCTGAAAGCATCTCAGGGAGGTGCCATCTCAGGCACAGGCAGAAGGAGAGGGGCAGGATCAGGAGGCTGTGCCTCGGAGAGGGCAGGAGACAGCAGCAGGGGTAAGCTGTGTGCCCGACTGGCTCAGTCAGCTCATCTAGCTGATGTCCTCAGTAGAGCCTGTAGCCGAACGTAACAGAATTAATGCTCTGTCTTGCTGGCTGCTCCCCTTTCCTCAGGCTGCAAAGGCTGGGAAATGTTGGTTCTTGTTCCACTCCAGGCAGATCAGCATAATCACACTCCGCACCAGTGAAACCCCAGAGAATACATTGCCCAGCTTGTCAACATACCCCAGCTAAGCAGGGGACACCCCAGCACCCAGTTTTCTCATCGTGTCTCACGTGGTTTTTGTACCTGTGTCAAATGCTGAGACCCTAAAGCCAGGTCTGGGAACCCAACCTGCCCTGCTCCCGCAGGTGCCCGAAGACCAGGATTTCAAACTCTTCCTGCTCCCTCAGCAGCTGCAAAGCTGGAATTCCAATGGCGGAAACCAGCACTTTGGTTATCAGACTTTAAAATCTGATAGTTCATGAACTGCCTCCATTGAAATATTGCCCTGGTTTCCCCAGGTATCAGCCATTACAACTGGCATTAATCCTCTGGGTTAGCACTAGGCTTTTTTAATCCAATTCCAGGGCAGTATATAGCAGTTCCTAGATTAAAGACTCGTACAACTTTTTGATTACTGGCTTAAATCCTTTGAAGTAAAGCTGAATCACCTTCTGGAGTTGTTCAGCCTCGTGTTACACCCTCAAATGAAGGTCCAAAAAGACTAAGTGATTTCTAATAGGAACAGAGCAAGTATGCTCTCAGTGTAAACATTTCAGCTCTGCATTTTGAAGCACTTCAATCAGTGAATGTGATCTCTACCTAGCAATTGCTCCTCACCCATCTCAAGCCACCCTCCTCTGTTAGCTCACCACCTACTCCTTAAATCATGGGCTGAAATCTGAATTTTAAGGAAAGAGAAAGCAAAACAAAGCAGCAGTTAACTTACAACATGAGGATATAGGTACGCTGATAGCCAGAATGATCCAGGCAATGTCCATCTTGCTGAGACAGATGGTTGCTCTGTGCTGGGGCTTGTCCCCCTCGGTGACATGGGAGATGTTTCCTTGCACTCCAGGTTTCCAGGTCCCAGCAGGAACCAGCCTGTTTAGGAAGTTCCCAGTGGCGGTGGAGCCAGCGGTGGAAATGGAACTGGACAACCTGGTGGCAGGAGCTGCAGAGAGAGCAGTGCTTAGCAAGGTCACGTTGGTCACCGTGCCACGCTGTGTTGGAGAGGGTCCCTTGGGATCTCCCGCTGCCGGGGAGGAGACACTGACATCAAAACTGGTCTGAACTGAGTGCCCCGCTGCTGCTGTTGCAGATCCGGGGCCAGCAAACAGAGGGACGTTTGTACTGAGGTTCAAGGTTACCCAAGAGTTGTTTTTGCTCAGCATATCCCATACGCTGTAGTGGGTGGGTTTAAAAGGCACCGACACCGCTTCAGGATCGGTTGATGGTCCAGCAGTTGTGGTGGCAAAATCTGCCTCCTGCAGCATTAGCTCGGCCCCGTCACCTCGCTCTGCTTCCCTAAGGCTTCCCGAGGTGCTGTGGTGGGGTGAAGGGTCTGAGTGTGTAGTTCTTGCCAGCCCCATGCCATTCGGATCACTGGATGCTGTGGTCTGGGACTGAAAGGGGTGGTCTGTGAAAGGGCTCCTCAGGGTAGGGAAGGGAGAGTGCAGGGTCGTCTTTAGGTAAGGCTCTGAGGACTCTGTGAAGTTGCCTTTGAAAACCTGGAATATTTTCCCCTTGGGGCGAGTCTGTCCCGAGTACAAAGCACTCCGGTTGTGTAAATGATATGTTTCCTTGTCGCCGAGGTGAGGGCCACTCGCTTGCTTTTGCCCGGTGGAAGGGGCTTTCTCCACCACGCTGATGGAATGGGGCACGGTGTGAGCAGACGTGGGAAGGGGCTCTGCTGCATGGTGGTCTTTGTGGCGAGGCGTTGTTCCCATGGCTGTGACAGTGGTAGTGTTCATCGGGAAGCCCTGAGAGGAGGAGACAGTGGGAGACAGTACCTGAACAGAAAACACCAGCTCTTCTGTCAGTGCCAAGATCAGTAGAACACCTAGAGAAAGAAGCACAGAGAGAGGGTGAGACACCAGGGAGGGACCAGCGGGCAGGTCTAGCAGGAAGGGACACCTTCCATGTTCAGAGTTAGCATCCAACTTTGTTGGCTTCTCTGGGAAAGTAAGAAGGGAAAGGAAAATCTGCAGGGGCTGTGGCGGCCCCATGGCTGTGGAAGAAGCGAGGTGGGAATGGGAAGGTCTCAGGGAATCTTCGGAAAAGCGATTCTACAGGATTTCCCTGTAGAAGCTACAAAACATCCTACAAAGCATTTAGGGGTAAAAACAAAAGACTTTTCATCTTTGTTTTGTCCAGGAGGTCTCCAGCTCAATGTCTGCATCACTATGGGCATCCTTAGTCATTCCTTTGTCTGCAAAATCCTAAACTGGGCTGCCTCCAGTCTTGGATGCCATTAAGCAATCTGGGGGGTTTGAGAGAGCAGCTGCTTAGTCCTTGCTGAAAATTAGGTTAAGAAGGGATGTCTGATGAGAGGGCTTTCCTGGGTTATATATATGCTGCCCTTTACTGAGCAATTTCAGACAATCTAGTCACTTCTTTTGGAGTATGAGACATGGACAATCTCCAAATGCTAAAAACGAACAAGAAAACATAAAGAAACAATAACAAAACTATCACAGCCATCTTTAAAAGTCAGGCGACCATTAAAGGACTGATTCAATCTAACACAACTGCCCTTGGCACCTATATGCAAATGGTTGTAACCTGTTCTGTGCTCACATGCGCTGTGGAATTGGATTGTATGAAATTTGCCTCCTGCCACCCTCTGCAGTGCACGTCATCTCATGAAGTACCAGATTCATACTGCTGGGAACATCAATTCTTCCATTTATTCCTAGTCCAGATAACGGACGTGGGCAGCTGCAGTAGCATAAGCCTCCCCGGGATGCAGGGCTAATACACCGTGAGTTAGTGTGACATGCAGGGACCACATCAATCACACGTCACCATTTCCATATGTTGAAGCTGTCGAGTGTAATGTGAAACTTTGCCCACTAGGAAGCACACAGAATAAATCCATTTTGCACAGTCCACTGAGCATCATCAGATGGCACCATTAGCACTGTGCTAGTGTGGATTTCAGTGTCAAGGGGAAAAATGTTGCCACAGTCTTAACAAATCAGGGAGACAAGTTTGTCAAGGCTGCAGGACTCCAAACGTTCCAGCCAAGACTGTGGAGAACCTTCCTGCCCCCTTCTCTACCCTTTCCAGGCTTGCCAGCTTCCTCCATGAGCATTGTTAGGCCATTTGGTTCTACCCTACTTGGGAAGAATACCTGTTATGGGCACCAGCAGAAAAGGAAGGCAGGGGCTTGAGACAACGAAAGAAGATCTCTGATGAGGTGTCCATTGGGCCCTAGGGCTCTGTGTTGCGTGTTGGGCAGATGCAGATGCCATGAAATGTGTTTATTCTGAATTCTGTGCATCATTCACACTCATTCACATGCCAGCAAAGCTGACCAAAGGAGCAGCACTTATTCCTCCAACCCAGCTAAATCCTCTACTTTGATCACTAACCATAATTACTGAACCAGAACAGCACAGAATTCTGCAACCAACAAAATTCACCTCATCTTGCCCCTCCCAGCCTCCTGTTAATTCACAGAGCATCCAGAAAATGAAACCACTGACTGGGTAACATAGTGAGAGACAATTACTAGCAATGTGCTTTCCACTGCCTGATGCTAAAATTAGCTCTTTGATTTATTTATTCCTGAAATAAAGATCTCTGCCAAATAAACCATCGTCTGGGATCCTGCTTCCCAGTTCCCAGGGACTGCAGACAACATGCTCTTAGCAGAACACCTCATCTAAGAAAAAAGCACATTCCATACACTGAGATGCAACCAGGAGAGCAGATCATGCTGTATTCATGGAGCATCACTCTTGGAAATGAAAAGGAGGACTTATCTTCACATTTTTGGCAGAGCTTATTCTGAGGTCAAGGTCAAAGAAGATATTCCAGTGTCCATATGGCCAATACTTCATGCCAAGACAAGTTGCTGCCACAGAACAAATTCAAAGAGAAAAGGATGACGATTTATTTGGGATTTGGTGTGTGGAGATAATGGTTCAGGAAACTTGAGGCCTGCTGTTCTGAGCACACAAGAGAAAGCACATTGGCAGACCTTAGGAGATACTAGATTGGAATGATTATAACGCCTTCTAAGATTTTGGGATGTTCTTTGTGTAATTACTTGCTCTCACACCTCATGCAGAAAAACATCTCTACTGTGTTAGTATTTTTCTCCATGATCTTCCTTAAGGAATAGGGAAGTTGACAGCTTTTCTGCATATTGTGCCCTGGGGTTAGAAACTCTGCTCTTTGCTTGAAAACCTACCTATTATCCACCTCTGCTTCTTGCAAAACTGATAAATCAGAAGCTTGCTGCTATAAAGATTTATGATCTCTCTGGGGCAGCCTGTTGTAGCAGGTCACCACGTACCAGGCACGGGAAGCCAGATGCATTTAGCTAGTACCTTTAGGTGGCTTGTAAAGTATAATTATTCAAAGGAAATACAACATCAAAAGTAATTTATCTGACAATAAACAATAGCCCCCAAGACATTTGGCTGTCTCAGTCTGTGGCAGTCATGTTTTGCTTGTCTGCTAGACTCCCTTTAACAGCCTCTACAGAGCCAATGTGGCCCCATAAGCTACAGCTTCTTAGGACGTTGGTTTACTGTTTGAATGGACCACAGTAACTCCTTCAGTGTCAACCAGAACTAATCTGTGCTCCTAACTACTGAAAAAGTATTCAGTTTAGTAGATCATTGTAAAAATAGCCAGTGCTGTATGTTCAGGGAGAACCAGATAACAATAATGACTTCACAGTGGGCTTTCCTGACCCTTTCAAGTAGAATTAATTGCCTTTATAACTGATCAACAGCCAACTGGAAAGCAAAAAGTAAAGCTGGAATTGGCATTTCCAGATGTTCTGCATCACCACCTAAGCATGCTGTGGCTGGATGTGCAGTGACCTGATTGCCCAGAGTTCCCAGTTACCTTTCTAACACTTGAGGATATGCAATGTCCTACAAAGTAGGGCTCTTATTGAGGTCCCTGATATTAGACTGCCCTGTCTGTCAATTCTGGCTTAAGCCTAGGAAAATGATAGTCTGAATTCCTTCACTAAGTTGCAGGCCACATTTATCACAGAAATGGACTTATACAAACCCTTCAGTTTTATTTCCTTCCCAACCTCTACCTCTGTTTTGCATGGGGAAAAGGGCCATGGGGAGTATGATGCCAACTGTCCCCCTGTGTCTCAGCTCACCCTCAATCAGACTACCACTGAAAGGAAACCTGGTTCCTATCAAGTTGTCATGGCCAAAGTTTTGATATCCCAGCTGAGATGGCAACCAGCAGATGCCTTTGGTCTGTTCAAAGCACAGTCCTGCAGCTCTTTGCCAAAATCCTTCAGTTTTTGCTGCCTAAGACTGTTAGGACTGATCTTACTTAGATCATAGGCCCTTGGGGTTAAGGACTCACTGTCCTTACCATCTGCTGGCATAATGGTTATACAGACTGATGTAAGCACATTACAGCAAATAATAATAATTAATTATATTTTCAAAGGTCAGTTCACACCATTAAGTTTTTTCATAACAGGCCATTTCTAAGGTATAGGAGCTCAGGTTCAGAAGGGGTCAAACCGGTTTGGCTTCTAAATGCTGTGTGTCAAATTCCCACTTTTGGTGTCTCATTTTATGACTACATTAAGACCATTCAACCCTAATGAGAAGCTGATTGACCTGACACCTCTGCAGCGTGAACTGTGTCATCCTGTGGTCTTGCATAGTGCACCAAGAAGGGAATATTAAGCGCAGAACGAATTAACTCAAGGATGAAGCACAGCAGAGTGACAGAAGAGTGTACAGAGAAGATGCCGATGCACATTTAGCCAGAAAGCCTCCTTCCTGAGAACATGGTGCAACGGTTCAAATCTTAACAGCTTCCCCTACAGTGCTGCTTCTCATCATACACTCACATGAGGAGCCCAGAAATGGTGTGGACATGAAGAAAATGAAGCAGTTCCTACCCAGAAATGTTTTAAAATACTTCTCGATGTCCTCAGTGAGTCTCAGGGAAGCTGGGGTTATGAATACTTTGCATGCAGGAGGCAGAACAGCCTCCCTCTAGACGGGAAAACCAAAGCAATTCTAGCCCCAGCAGCTGACATCCTTTGACTGTTTTATCTCAGGACCTCAGAAGACCCTGCTAGAAGCCAGTGTCCTAGCACAGGACAACGTGAAAAGGCTTCATTTAGGAGATAACACTGCTGGTGCTGCACAGGACACTTCATGGGCACTTTTGAGAACAGCCTTTTTGCACGACATGGCAGAGCCAGCTCATGTTTTCAGCCTCCCCGAGCTGCCCCCTTTAAACCACACAAACTTCGGATCTACAACCAACTTCTGATCTAAAGCCTGTGGAAAGGTTCTCAATGACTTTAGCAGGCTTTGGACCAAGTCCTGACTGCCAGAGGTACAGTGGAAACTTCTGAGCTGCACATTCACATTTTCTATAGCAAATGAATGTGCACCATGTGCTCAGTCTGGCGTTTGACCCCTTCTGGCCTCTGCTACCTCAGACCTTGCAGCAGGACAAACACAGCCAAACAGTTTTGCTCTAGGTAGTCAGGAAGAGCTTTTTGTTCAGAGCCCTGCTGCTGGACTCATTATTTCAGACTTGTGTGGGCAGGAGAAGCAAAGGGAGCTTTCCTAAAAGGACCATTATCTACAGACCCAGGGCTTGGGGGCACATGGGCAGTGTAAGGGATGCTGAAGCCTCTCTGCTAATAGTGAGTGAAGGTTGTGCAAAACCTGTTCAAAGCAACAGCAATGTTATTGTTGTAATGAAAGCTTCCTTCACAACACTATTAACTTCTCATGTGTCTCTCAGCAAACCTAAAACGTTGCAGGGAGCAAAATGAATCTTTAATAGATGGAAACTGTGCAGAAAGTACAGATCACTACTTTCATTACGGTCATTTTTGTTATGGTTTCTTTGTCATCTGTCAGAGCAATACGATTTTCATTCACAATAAACCAGCCTTTGTACAAACAAAGAGTTAAGCAAATTTCATCCATGATTGGTGGCATAACTGAGGGAAGAAAAAGTAGGTTACTCAGCATAGAAAATTTCTCTTCCCTGCCCATCTCTCAGTGGCTCTTATGCCAGAACTCCCAGATATTAACTTACAAGTTATTGTCTGTTTTCCCATGCAAGTATTAGATTGATCAACCCCGACTTCAATACACGAAGTATCGCAGGGACTAAGACACACAGACTAACAGCTCTATTTGCAGTAACATCAACCAGCATCAGCAGAAGCTCTGGAAATCACATGTACAAACACAAATTAAGCAGCACTCGCTGACACTCCCTGTGCAACAACAGTAACAGCGGCTCCAGTTTTCATGTGGCAAAACTTCCTGGCCCTTTAACAACAGAAACCCACTGCAGACCACTAGTACTTCCTCTAAGGTGCACTTCCATCACACATTTCAAGAGAGTGAGCCTGTAAATCAAAATCCATTTCTCCAGGGAGTTAAACAATGGGTGATACAAATAGGACAGTATAGTGTAGTTGCAGAGCAGACAGCTCCCAGTTCGTTCTCACACCGCACTAGAGACTCGTAGATACTACAGGACTGCTTCAGATCCCCTATTCAGCTAAGCACACAAAGACATCCAAGCTGCTGAGCCTTGTGAAAAGGCTTACTGACAATCTAGGACAACAGTAATTACTGAGAAGAGGGTAATAAGAAGAAAGAGCCTGACTCTAGCTGCTTGCTCAAGGTAATCACTTACCTGGAAATATCATTTGGACTTGTCAGCAGACATCCTCACCTGCTCACATCACACAGATTCGGAAGCTTCATCTCTCAGCAGAGAAAGGCAAAACACATCTTCTCCCTAACGAGGCAGCTGCAGCAGGAGTTGCTGTTATTGTTGGAACTGGTTTGGAGGAATGAGGGCAGAGACAGCCCAGGCAGGCGTGTCTTGCAGGGCTGTGCAGCGAGAGGGCTCGCTCCTTTATGGACTACCTTTGCCACTGCAAGGCAGGATTACTTACTGAGCCAGATCCCCTCTCTGCCAGCAGATCCACGGGCTGCTTGGTATTCCAGCTTGGTTTCCCATCAAGTCCAGATACAGTTTGTCTGACATGGGTCTATTCAGATGCCAGAGGATTGCTGGCAGTGCTCCTTCTCTGAGAACAAAACAGCCACAAGCACCCCAGCTGCACGCCCTTGGGAGGCTGCTCAGTCCCCATTCCAAGGCAGCATGCCCTTCCTCCAGCTTTTTTGTGTGTGGATGGCTTTTACACATCTACCTCCTGCTTCTGTGCCTCCACCAGACTTCATTCAATTACCTCTAATGATATTAATATTCCTGTCGGAGGGAAATACGGGGCATGAAATAGTGATCATCTTCTCTCCTTCACTGGCATCAAAATGTATGGTCTGTATTTGATTTCTTCACTCCTCAGTGGCGAATTGGCCATAAATATGTCCACAGATCCCGTGATTCTTAAAGCCATAATCCCACCTCTCTTCTTCCATTTCTTCTTCTTCCCCTGTCTCTGGCACAGCTGGGTATCTGGAAGAACACACTGCCTGAAGAGCACACAAATGCGCCCTGTGCAGCCAAATACCAATCCCTCAAAAGGGAAATGGTGTGAGAGCAACAAGTTAGGGGCTTCTTGAGAGTGGTGTGGGGATCCCCCAGGAGTCCTGGGGCAATCCCCACCACTCAGGCTTTGATTCAGAGCCCCTGTTGTGCTGCAACAGCCTGAGCAGTTTGTTATATGGGCTCCCCACAGAATTCATTCCTAGTATTTTGCTAGAGAGAAAAGCCAGTTCCTTCTTCACTCTTTACCATACCAGGTGAGAAGATCCTCCTGTTTTCAGGTCTTGATACAACCATGTTGCAGCCAAACTTCTTTTTTGATGCTGTGGCTGACTCAGACAGGAATGATCCTGTGACAATAGGTTTGAGTTCGGCCCCATAGCAGCTATGGGGCCTCCACAGTGACCCCAGTGCTGACTGAAGTCCCTAATGGGAAAGCTAGGCAGGTGTTTATATTATATCACAAGTATATCTTACCCTTAGTTATACAAGCCCTGTTTTCACAGCCACAACTGTTTCATGAAGGATATGGAAAGACAAAGTGCAAATAATAATCTGAGATCCGCTTTGCATTTTAGTGCTCTCATGCTGACGGTTCTTTTCTCCTTCCCATCTGCAGTTCACTTTTCCCCCCTTGCTGTTTCCAGCCTGAAGGTTTTTCTAAATAAAGATATTTAGCGCATTATAAAATAAGCGGTCCTTACAAATATCAGCTTGTTTAGCACTTTCTGGAGCTCAGGGCTGATGAAGAGCTTGCTGCTGAAACAATGATTTAGCACGAAGCTGCAGCTGGCATAACAAGAGAACCATGCCACGTATTTTAACCTTTGCTGGAGGATTCACCACATCTGTAAGTAGTTACTCACACAGATTTCTTCTCTGTGTGCTGTCATGGATGGAAACATATGGCTCAAAACTGCAGAGACCATCGTTTGGAATTTCAGATGAAAACCCTTCTGAACAACAGAGGCTCTGTGCATTCCCTTGTCCAAAAACACATGGAACAAACCGAAGATCCTTTTAAAAGCATACGAGTATTCCTTGGTCTAACAGCTCCCCCCTCACACAAAGCTTGTCCAGCCCCAGCTTTGCAAATGCACATCCCTTCCTTTCCAGCCTTTACTTGGCAGCAGTTTTTGTTGGCAGGATGCTGTTGCCAAGGGAGACAGAAAGGATGTGCAGCTGGCTTTTCTTTCACCTGCACTTACTGCTGCTGATCCTATTTATGTTACTGCAGAACCTTTGGCTTTTAAGAGACCTCCCATCAATGTCACCGGACCTTTTGAAGAGTTTTGACAATGACACAAATAGCTGTGGCCTCTGATAGAAAGCTTAAAATAGGATCTCACCAAAGAGAGGATGATGTAGTTGGTGTCACAGATGCTGACTTAAGCAAGGGTATCCATTTACTGAGCAACAATAAGAAGGAGGAAAGGAGGATTCAAAGCCATCTTCAAAAGGTTTCTGACAACTCCCCAAAGCAGTGAGTAACTTCAGATATGTAAAAGTCACATGCTTAGCCTAAGGTAGCTGTGGCTCTGGCAGGCAATACACCCCATCCACACATTGACTAGTAACCCATAGAGGCTCCTCTCTTGCCATTAGCAAGAGGTCACATAGAGGATGATGAGCTTTAACCAGATGTCCAGCTTTCAGGTGATGAGAATTAGGCAAGGTGAATCCCACCTCGTCTCCCTCCATCTGTTTACGTGGCATCATCACAAAGCAAAGCGAGGATTTGTTTAGTACAAAAAAGGGATAAATAAAAGTGATGTTTGAAAAGGTGAAATATAGTCTCTCTATTGCAATACCTTCCAGGAAAGGAAATCCCACTGCTTTGGCCATTTAGAACCAGTTTCTCCTGAACACCACACAACCAGCCTTGGGGAGCAACACTTCATCGGCATGAAGAGTGGACTAGAGCAAGGCAGCCCTTCCATGGTAATGCATTACGAAGCACTTTTCTTTCCCATATTAGAGGGTAAGAGGGCAAGCACTAATTCAGATGAAGCAAGGAGCTGCTGCCTCTCAAAGAAACAGCATGCAAGGCAAGACATCTGGCACCTGGAAAGTAGCACGAGGAAGCAGGAGCCACTGCTTCATGCACAAGCCTTTTCCAACCAACTACAGCTCCTGGACCTGCTACAATCCTTTCAAAACATTCCCCCTTGCAGTTGGAGGTAAACAAGTCAGAGGCTTTTGATTCCAGCACCACGTCTTTTCCACATTTAATTTCTTCAGGATTAAGCCTCCAGCCCTAATTTACACTGACTTACCTATCAATCAGGACACTTCTTCTAGACCCAGAATGCTCTTTCATCACAGCACAGTCATTTTTAGCTTGCCTTTTCTACGGAAACATTTGTAGGGACAGGTTGTCTATCCCTCTGCCTGTCTTTGATCCATGGCTAATTGCAAATACTGTAACACACTGCATGACAAACTGTGTTTGTCATACAAACAGGAGGCGAGGCAAGGCAAGGCAAGGCAAGGCAAGGCAAAGCAAAGCAAAGCACCCTACTCATGGATCCCTCTGCTGCAATGATTCAGGACTTTGTTTTCCTCTATTTGCAAAAGCTGTGCTTAAATTCTCCAGCTTCAGGTGCAGAGATGTTGATGCTACAGCCAGAAGGGATGTTACAGCTAGGCAGAGGCTGACTAACTTCTACAAACCCTGAAGGTATTGCACTCATTTCATCTGTTCATTGAAAGTAATTTGGATGATGTATTACTTATGCCTCCTTCAAACACATTATTACCTCCAAGTGCCTGGTTACCCTTGTGCTTGATTTCCAATGAAAGCTTATAATGAAGAGCTTGCACTGATTTGTTATGTGAGCAGGTAACGTAATTAGAAAGTAACCATAATATTTACCTGCAGGAAAGCTTTACTCTGAGTTTTGGATCAGTTGATGCAAAAGGGACACTGTGTCCCAGAGTAAGCAAATGCTGGGGATTTATGCAGTTATTCATTCACAGTTTATCATTTGGGCAAGTAAGGTCCAAACCAGGTCGGGATCCAGGGAGTCAGCATTTCCCGTATGGGGGACTGGCTTTGTGGGTACAAAGTGTCAGATTGGAATGGGAATAATCCCGAAGGTGGACTTGGCCTATAACAGGTAGTGAGAGTTTCCATGTCCACATTTTCTCCTGTGAGCACAGCCTGAGGATATAAGGTTATGTATAAACCAGCCAGAAAGGCTGTAATGTGCTGCTTTTATTATCTGCTGGATTATACATGGCCAGCAAAGCCTCTGGAGTGGATGTCAGGTTGCTAAGGAAAGAAGTGAGCTGTTACTTTTCATTTCTGTTCGTTCTTCTATAGACTAGCGACAGCTTTCATTTGGCTTCTGCAAAAAAAGTTTGTATTGCCTTTTAGCTGTCCTGAGTTGAACCTGGCTTCAGCTAAAGCTGATTTCAGAATAACATGGATACTCACCATGGCCCTGCTGCACCGAGCCACATGGGTGCTCCATGAGCAGCTCTTCAGGAGATCTGCTGATGGCCCAAGGGGGTCAAAAACTGGAGGTACATGCTTGAAACTCAGGTGGGTCAGGGGTGCAGGTTGCATTATGACATACAAAGACAAAAGGGAAAGAACAAATCCCCTTCCTGGAAGTATCAGCTGCTCACTGCAGAGATGAAGAAAGGGGGTTTTGCTCCATTAGACTGAAATATGGATTTTTTGCTACCCTTCAAAAGCTGAGTATTGGTCTGGAAGGAACAATGGTCCAACTTGATGTTGTAAATCATATGTTCGTGTAAGTAAGGTCACAACAGTAGCAGGATATAATTTCTGCTACTGAGAGTAGGACTCTGCTGCTTTTATTTCACTCAGTGTTACTGCTCCTGCATTAGATTCACAAGGTGGAGATACGCAATATCATATGCAAAAACCATAAGGATGAGATGGCATGGGGCTGTGGCATACCTGATGAGTCAGGGGATCAGTAATTCAAGTGGAAAGACATATGAAGTTAGGAAGAGGACCTCACTTTATAAAAATATGCTCTATCAACCCTGCAGTTCACTTCCACAATTCGTATTTCCTATTCAGCATGCGTGCAATTACACAGCAAAGTAAACTGTTTCACATTTCCATATGGATAGTCTCTTTTGTGTGCGCTGCGTCCGAGGGTCATTTTGAACACGTGTTTGTCCTTTCTTTTCATAGTCCTGTCTTTTCATAGGAAACTACTGCATATCTGAAATATCATTTACATTCAACGGTTTAAGTGTTTATAATGGACTCAGGTCATCAATTTCATCCTGCCTTAAACATGACAGGCTGGCACTGCCATATGCTCTTCTTTGCACCATTAACATAGAACCACTGTTTGGA